AGAAGTAACTAGATTTAACCATTCGAAATTATAATTTTATCAATGGACGATCATTGTCATTTTTATTTATTTCATTACGCCGTACGAATTTCTGTGCAGTCTTATCCTCTTCTCTGTCATCCACCTTTTTGGGGAATGAATAAACATAATAATCGATATCACCAAGAAAATCTCGAGAGTAAATATCTTGAGAGCATTCCACTTTGTGATTCAAAGAAGTGTACCGCATCTGATGAATTTGTGTGTCTTTGAAATCCTTCAAATATCAAATAGTAAACTGCTTTCATTACATTCAATTCGACAACTTATAAATTTCACCTAACGGAGTAATCAAACTTCAAATATTTTTCAGTTCATCATAACAGATAGAGAAACCCATTTTGTTTTTAAAATTTCAACTACTTTTCTTACTCAGTATTATCAATAACCACATATAACAAAGTATAACAGTTAAATTTCATTACGGATTCGGAGAAAACATTCCGAACAAATTTTGTCGCACAAATGTTGCCGATATATTTAAACAGCCGTCTGCCTCGCTATATAGCTGCTCCAATTTGATTTAATTTTTTGATGGCTAAAAGGAAAATTAACTCTGAGAATATGGATGATCCATTTCTTGGAGTCATATTTTGATATGCTTCATTACATATATCTACGCGCTTCTATTTTATTCTATAATTTTGTTCATTTTATCTAACATGATCAGATGCATAAAATTATCACAAAAATTATATATGAGAGATTAGCATAAATTTGAAAAGACCAACCGATGATATCATCAACAGTTTGCTAAGATAACTGAATGTTTAGTATTTGTTCATGAGGTTATCTTTCTTCCTTCTCTTCTCAAGAATAATTTTCCATTTTCAAATATTCGATTGAAAATTGATTAATCTAGAAATCCTTCACTATTTCATATCTACTTGTCATATTATCTTCTTCTTTTTCGTCTTTTTGAATTCCATTTGAAATATGTCGACCGTGATAGCAAAGATATTGTCACTACTCATTACGGTATTTGACGTTCACTGCTATGACCCCCACCACCCGATTGACTGCTATCCCTACCTAATTGGACAACGTTGTTCTTTCCTCAAAAGAAAAAAGGAATAATTCAAACAGTATTTATTAGAAAAATTATTCTCAAATATTTTGCAAAATTGCATTTCTACTTTTTTTCGATGAACGAAATCCATTTAGCAAATGAATTAGACTAACTCATTATTACAGAAAGCTAATATTGTTAGTTTTATTTTTTTCTGGTACCATTCTAATAATAGTATAGATAGCTTCATCTTAGAAATGAATTGATATAATAGCAAGCATTTTACTAATAAGGACGTAGAAGAGCGTTGACTTCTAATGAATCATCGCCTGAAATCAGCGAAAAAAAAAGATTATAATAGGACTAAAGTAGTGAAGACCATAACTAACTGATACATGAAGTGATGGAAATTAAATCAGAAATTTCTAAATTAAATATAAAGAGCTCGTAAATATGCCAATAAATCAGAAGATAAAAAATGATTGGGAATTATGTGACAACCGAAAATGATGCGGTAAAAATTATTTAAGGTAATAACATAACCAAAAAAGTTCTAAAACACATTTGCTAATTGGATCGATCCCTCATATGACAAGATTTGTTACCCTATCGTAATACCACACATTCTATTTTTCCGAGCAGAATTTCTCTCAGGTAAATTAAAGGGTTGTTACTGATTTTCAGGTAACCGAATTGGGCTGCAAAAAAAAACACTCAATAATCTCACATTAGAATTTTCTCCGTCCACCAACAAAAATCAAAAGAATTGAAAGATGAAATATGAGTTGCAGCTTGCCAAAAAATGTAGTTTAATTAAATTGAATCAAATAATATCAACGGTATACTATTTGATGATATCTTGAATGTACAAACGATACTAACCTAATGAAACCTTTAACGATACACATGCTATCTATACAATCTACATCATATTTCTTCAATGTGAAATTAATCAATATAACAGCGTTGGCGAATATGTTTGATCATTTCGTTCTTTTTTTCTTTCTCTAATATCATCACACTCATATCATCAATTTCTCTTGATGCATTCGTTAAATTTCAGTTTTCTAAAATTCAGGTTTTAGGATGTTCCTATCAAAGATACCGCTTATGAGATATCCGAAATTGTTACAATATGCCAAAAATAATTTATTCAGTCATCCTTTACGTACACAAAAACAACCATCACAATTTAAAGTATATTGTTTTTTTTTTTTGTTTGTTGTTTTAGTTTTTGAAGATATTCTATTCTCCTTTT